TGGATCAGTACCCCCAGAGGTATTGATTTGTTGTGGGAACATGGAGGACTTTGAGACTCGACAGATTTAACGTGCATCAGTCACCATTTACTACACGGGGAGTCTTCGGCCGGCGAGGATCGAACCCACGACCTCTTGGATATGGGCCCAGCGCCCTACCGACCAGGCTATCCCGGCCATAGTTCAATATTGACTAAAACGTTTGATTTTTTAAAGAGGAATCAGTTTTGAAAATTTTAATATTTGATTTAAATTTTTAAGATTTAACACTAGAACGCATTTCAAATGTATAACAATCTTCAGGAGTTGCGGAGCGTCAGCGAGCAGGGGATGGAACCCATTAGCAAATGTGAAAAAACATAATTTGTATAAAATATTTAAATTGTGCAAAACCATTATAAAAAAAGAACTACTTATCTCACATGGACATTCTCACATAGGTCAAAGCAAACTACTAGAATGACATTTAGTTCTAAAATTAGATGCGATGTTATTTTAAATTGCATTGAGAGCAATATACTTCATAATATTAAATACTTTGTTTGTTTGATAGTTGAAAGTAGATCGGTTTCCGTTTTCTTAATTTTTATAGGAGGCTATATAAAAATTTGCCGGCCGGGTGAACGAGCGGTCAGTGTGTCAGACTACGAAGCCAATGGTTGCGGATTCGAAACCAGCTCAGGGCATGGATGCTTCTCTCCAGGTCTTGTTCTCTGTTGTGTCAATGTGGCCCACCCTATGAACAGTGTGGCTTGGGTAATGTTGCCCGTCTTCGTTTCACAGGTGCCCTCCGGGTAACATTAAATGAGCCCAAACTCTCTATCTCTAATATATATATATATATACATATGACTCTTGAATAAATAGAAACATCTTATGGAAATTGTTCAGTGTATATTCGGAAATAATATATTATTTATATATTATACCTTTTATAAACTATTATAAATGACACTGTTACTGTTAATTCATTCGCATATTTTATTTTAATTAACTTATCAATTTACCTAAACGAAGTTGTTTTTTGGAATTTATAAATTATACGATAACTTACCAATAACTCGTTTATTAATCTCGATTTTTCAATAGACTGATTTTCTGTGCTCTTTTTCAATATTTTGGTTAAATCTGAGCTCAAAATCTTTGAAAATGTGATTATTTAAGTTTACGATATGCCTTAGTAGAAACCCTCCGCCATTGCAGATTATCTTTGTTCTAAGATTTAAAAAATTTATATTTGGAGAAAAAAACTGCCATCCGTGATAGCCAGTTTGAATTATTCATGTTTAAATTATCCTCTGTTCCGAATTATCTATAGTATGTTTGAATTATTCTTTATTCCGAATAAAATGTTTGGCATTCTCGAATCATTCATGTTTGAATTATCCTATGTACCATATTATCCATTGAATTGTCCTTAGTTCCGAATTATCCGTTGCATGTTCAAATTAAGCCCGTTTGAATTATCCTATGTTCCAAATTATCAATTGCATGCTTGGATTATCCTTTGTTCCTAATTATTCTTTGCTTGTTCGAATTATTTATGTTTTGATTATCCGATGTTCCTATTTATCTATTACATATTTGAATTTTCCTTGTTCCGAAGAGTGTTTTGTATGTTCGAGTTATTCATGTTTGAATTATTTTAAGTTCCGTATTGAGCATTGCATGTTTAAATTATTCCATGTAATGAATATTCCAATGCATGTTCGATTAATGCATGCTTAAATTATCCTATGTTCTGAATTATCTAATTCCAATTAAAAAGGGTTATTATAAGTTATTTTTGCAGTCAGATTTCTTTCGCCGAATCTCATAAAAACCTAGCAGAATAAAATATAAAAAAAACTTTCCCTAAAAAGTAGGACTTGAATTACTTATGGAACATTTAAATAGCTCTTGGCAGTCACGGGATTTAGCAAGAATTAGAATAATTTACTTAGAAGTATCAGATTAATTAGCAGGTGTTCCGTATTGGTGCGATTCATTTATAGTTTATAGGATTCACTTAAGTCTCTGATACTGTCTGTTAGATTGTTTGTTGATATCCTTGACCAAGACATATAAAACGCCATTACAAGGTGAAAAAGCTTTTTACATGCTGGAAATAGATAGAAAAAAACGAAAGTAGAATAATTTTTCCCTGACACCGTTTAATAAGTCTGAAACGCTCTTGGAAATGCAGATTTAAAAAAATATGCAGATCACTCACTCATCGGCGTATGTTCATTTCCTTTTCCGGGTTCTATATATTGATGAATTTGCAATACTGCGGTGAGTCATTAAAATATGCATTTTCTTTTTTCATAAATTTACTCTATTCATTTCTTAAAGTAGTTAATGTATTACTATAATTTTGCTTTTAAAATTATCAAATATATATGAAAAAAATCACTTTTATTCCAAAGACTTTTTAGCCTGTTAGAGAGTTCGAATTAAAATTTTGATTTTCAGAAAATTTGAATAATTCTATTAGAAAGTCTAATGAAGTGAATAATATACTTTTGAACTTTTTTTTGTGAAGAGTTAACTGCGATAATATTGAGAAACCTGTGATTCGATTTATAAAAATGAAAGTAAGATAATTCTTTTGCTTAATAAGTGTGAAATGCGCTTGAAAATGCAAATTTTAAAAAATATGCAGATCACTCATTCACGTCTGTTCGTTTTCTTTTCCGGGTCCTATGATTATATTGATGGTTCTACGGTTATATGATTACATTAACCGGGTTCTATGATTATATTGGTGGTTCTTTTAAGTAGACTATATTATCTGTGTTTCTATGATTATACGACTACATTAACCGGGTTCTATGATTATATTTGTGGTTTTATGATTATATGACTAAATTAACCGGGTACTATGATTACATTAGTGGTTCTGTGATTATATGGCTACATTATCTGGGTTCTAAGATTATATGGCTACATTATCTGGGTTCTATGATTATAGGACTATATTAACCGAGTACTACGATTATATTGATGGCTCTATGACTATATGACTAAATTATTTGGTTTTCTATAATTACATTGATGGTTCTATAACTACATGACTATTTTATCCGAGTTCTATTTTTAAATTGATGGTTTTATGGTTATAGAATTACATTATCCAGAATTATAGAATTACGTTATCTATATATATGCATAAATGAATCTTCAATAGCATGGTGAGTAAATAAAATATACATTATTTTAAAAAAAATTACATTATTTAAAAAAAAATTACGTTATTTAATCTATAGAGTATTCATAGAGAATCAGAAGAATATTTCTTCAATTATCAAATATAACTGAAACAAAACTTTTCTTAACTTTCATTTAAAAAAAAAAACTTCTACATTTCAGCCTGTTAAGGTTATTTGAATTTCACTTTATCAAATATTTGTATAAATTTTGTTTAAAAGTCTGATTTAAAGGACATATTTTTAACTATTCCTTCTAACTAATGCTTATATTCCGAAACTGGTGATTAGTTTTTAAAAAAGGAAACAAAATATTTTTCATTGCCACAGTTTAATAAATTTTGAGACCTGTTCAATAAAGCAGATTTCATTCCTTTTTTTAAAAAAAAATTGCAGATCATTCATCGACATTCGTTTATTTCTTTTTTGGGTTCCATATATTGATGAATTTGCAGTGGTACGGTGAATAAATAAGATATGAACTTTTTTTTTAATAAAAAAATACTTTATTCATTCTATAGAGTGGTCAATGCATTATGAATTACGTGTTATGAATAGATATATAGTCTAATAAAATGATTACGTACGTATTTTACATGCGTAATGTATGTATTTTTAACTATTTTTCCCCAGAGCAAACTTAACTCTAATATTCTCAAACTAGTGATCGGGTTTCAAGAACGAGGTTCGGGTTTCCTGTTAACAGTTCTTGTAATAAAAATTTCAAGTCAATTTTTGAAAAAAAAATTAAACTTTCTCCTTTTCTTTGTTACGTTTTTTTTTCATACTCCCACATAACAACAAGAAGCAACTGTATGTGTTTCAATAAACGTACATTTATTTAAATATACACAAAATGACGAAAGTATGTTTACGTTTAAATAAACTAAGTTCAATTTGTGAAATAGTATATTCAATTACGATTTATAAGTGTTATTTCATTCATAAAATACTTTCTTAATTGTTTTGTTTAAATGTGTATTGATCTTTTTATGTTTACTAAAAATAGCACTAATAGTTGCTATTTTTAAAAAAAATACTTTTCGAGCAAAGATAGAAAGCCATTGATAACAATCCATTTTGGTATCATCTAAGCTTTTACGGAGTTTCAACTTCTATTTCTGTTTCTAAACACCGTTATTGCTCAAGCTTTTATTTTGATAAAAGGAAAAAGTAATGTAGGTTGCTCAAAGTGAGACTATAATGGTAGACCCATCTAAATGCTTTTAGCAATAGATAAGCACAAGTCTCAGGATACAATGCAAAGTATTGTTAAAGGTAGATTATATAGCAAGTTATCTAACAACAAGAGCATAATGCAAAGTCTTATCTACTTACCATATGAGGTAAGTTTCTGAATTTCACAAGAACTGGAAAAAAGCCTTAAAAAATCAAGTTTTGTGTGAAAGGTACCACAAAATTGTTTTTCGTCGAAGCAGACACTTTGAGCATAAGAGTAAGTACATGGTTTAAAATTGTATTTGACTATTTCTGTTTTTGCAAATTAGTTCTAAGACAACATTAACTTATTTCAATAATTTAAATTTAGAAAAGGATTTTTTGTTTTAATTAATGAACAAATGGTCATTAATGAATTTCTGGATAGTTTTTGTCTAGATAACAAAAGTATCAATCAACTGATTATTTTTGATAGACGTGTAAATTTTTGGTTAAAATATCGAGTCATTAAATCTCGTTGTTTAATAGCAATGAAGATGATTCAAAACGGGAACTTGTGTTATTTTTATGCCACCAATTTTCATTTGTTGGAGTGATGTAAAATGTTGTCTTGAATTTGAAAGGTTACCTCAAAGAAGCTTTTCATTCACATATTCTATATTAGAGACATTTATGAAATATTTTTTTTTTTGCAATATAAATTTTTTGTGACGGCGTAAAAAAACACACTTGTCGATGTATTGAGCTGTTCTAAATCTTATTTGAAAGATTCAAAAATTGGAGATTATTTTTAAAAAATTATAGTTTAATTAATATGTCCATATAATTTTTTCAAGGAACTTGCTACTTTATACGATATTTTATTCACAAAAAAAATAGCTTTTGATACAACAACAAAAATAAAACGTTTGTTTTTAAAGTTCACTGCTAAGTTGTTCACTTAATTTTAAAGATTGCTTTTGATCATTTTTTGAAACATTGCTTTTTATTATAATTGAGTGCCAAAAATTTTAATTTATGGTTAGCTATATTAACCACACTATAAATTAATTCGTGTTACAGAACGGGACTGAAAAAAATAATTTTAAAAAAAATTATAACGTGTGTTTTCTAATTTTAGCGCATATATTAGTGCATACATATATCTTTTTACTTTCAGTGCATTAATAGTGCATTTTCATAATAATTATTCTAATTTTTTATTTGAAGCTTTTTAACTTTGAACAAAAAAGGAAACAAAATACAAGTGTTTCAAATAATATTTAATGTATACATTCAACAAAATTTTAAATTTTAAAAAATTAAAGAACACAGAATATTTTTTTTCATTTAAATCTTTTTTGCTTTTTTTGATAGTGTGTTTCAAATAGTTTAAAAATGATTTAACTAAATTTTTTATCGAATTATAAAATAAATATATTTCTTTTTCCACATAGAAATGCAGAGGTATTTGATATTTTTATTTACGTCGCACTAGAGCTGTGCAATGGGCTATTGAGAACTAGTAGGGAAACATGCCCGAGGATGATACAAAGACGTGCCATCACAATTTTGATCCTCTACTGAGGGGATGGCTCCCCGCTTTGATAGCTCGATGACCTCACGCGAAATAAAGCATTCTACGGTAGAATACAGTTTAATGAGGACTGATGTTTCACACCCTCGGTGCCTTCGCAGGCTGATCAAAATGATCCCCCACTCGCTTACTAACCACACCGAGTGATGCTTGATTTCGATGATCTACTGGGAACCGTGTCTTATGATTAGCCCATTGTGAGGCTTATTGTTTTGATAAATTTTCTATAAGAAAAATTCACTTCCATTTCATTTTATTCTTTTTTTAAATTTTTTAACTGTGGAAGTTTCTTTTTTCTTTTTATAGTTAAAACTAATTGCAATTTTGGTTAGAAATAAAAACATCTTGTTTCATCTAAACAAATTACAAAACATTCAAAATTTCGAAAAAGTTCAAAGTCCTAAGGTTTTAGCGAAGGGCTTATTCTCATCACAAATTCCGAGAAGAATAATAATAATAAAGAAACTAAAAAATTTTTTTGAAAGATATGAAAAGAAAAGACTTGTTTCCCCTTTATCACCCAATAATACACTGTAGTAGTAAAAATGAGAAGAAAAAAATTCTTTAAAGGTTTTCTATTCTATCAAACATACTTCATCTGCACCCTTTCCCCATAACGCGTCCCTTATCTGGCCTCTGCTTACCAATGAATACTTGCTCACAAAGGGAAAAAAATCAAGTAATCTAAGTAAGAAAAAAATTCTTACTAGAAAAGTAAGTTCGCCCCTTTCCTTCAACGAGACCCCAAATATAGTGAATATTGTGTAGCTTGTAAAATAGAATTGTATACAGAAAGGGTATGCGTGATCGAAAAAAAAAATCAGCTTCATAAAAGAATGGAACTAAAGGGCTGTAAATTTTATACTATGCAACAGCTACGCTTCCCTTGAATCAGGTTCATTTCTATGAAAGAAACTAAAACCTTTTCTGAATTGTGGTCTAAAAAGTTACAGTTCTAACAGGTTTTGTAGCGTCCTCTTACCAATAAAATAAGGCGGATTTTAGTAATACCAAAATTTACACAGATTTAGTAACTTATGAAAAGATTCACAAAAAATGAAATGAGTATAAATAAAGTCCATTTAAAGAATTTGATCTGATAGAGTCAGAAAAAATGAATGAGAATAAATAAACTAAATTTAGAGAATACGATCTTAAAGATTCATAAAAAATGAATGAGAATAAATAAACTACATTTAGAGAAAGCTGTTTTAAAAATTCATTGAAATAGAATGAGAGAAAAAAATATTTAATTAGAAAATCGCTAAGTCCAGGTTTTGTCTCGCATGTGATGCACAAAATTACTTATGAGTCAGTAATCATCGATAATCAATTATTAATCAGTTTCATGAAGAAATGGAACTAAAGGGCTGTAATTTTATGTTTCCCTTGAACCAGGTTCTCCTATGAAAGAAATCATCTATGAAAGAAACTAAAATCTTTTTGAATTGTGGTCTAAAAAGTTGCAGTTCAAACAGGTTGCATAGCGTTCTCTTACCAACGAAAATAGGCGGATTTTGGTAATACCAAAATTTACACAGATTTAGCAACTTATAAAAAAATTCATAAAAAATGAATGGGTATAAATAAAGTTCATTTAGAGAATGTGATCTTAAGGATTCAAGAAAGAAAGTAAATGATAAATTTTATTAATTTAAGATAGTATTCTATAAGCTGCGTTTAAAAAATACGATCTTAAAGATTCGCAAGAATTAAATGAGAAAAATTAAACTAAACTTAGAGAAGGCAATCTTAAAAATTCATAAAAAAAAAGTGAATGAGAATAAATAAACGATACGAATTTCGCATCCAGCTTGCACTGACCACAGTGCTGACGTAAAATATCCTCAGTGGTAAATGGTAAGTCCCCTTGCTGTCAAGCTAATCATGGGAGATTATAGTGGTTTTATTCACCATGTAACGCAAATGAGGGTTAGTTCCATAAAAATGTTCTTCACGAAGGCGAATTCCATCCAATACTTGATCCAAGAGCTTTTTTGTCTTCTGGTTTGGGTTCAAAATTACAGGGCTGTGTAGTTGAACATTGGTAGTCGTAAACACAAAAAATAAGGTCGACTGTTTAATGACTGTTATTAAAAAAGAAATTCTTAAATCGTATGCCTTTTTTTTTTCATTTTTAGAAAAGTCATTTTATATATCCTGAAATTCAAGTACTTTATCTTGGCATTTAACTGAGTGGTTAAGGAAAAGAAATTCCAAAACGAAGCTGACTATCTTTTTGTTGAATTTTCCTTATTGTTTTATGTTTTTATACAAATCATTCTACATAATTTAAATTTCATAAAATAAAACTTTACGAATTTCACAGTACAAAATTTTTTTTTAAAATCACCTGGATCATAAAAATTGATTTTCAAATTTCATTTTAATTAAAAGATACATAAGACCAATTTCGTGATTTTATGGCATCAAAGTGCAAAAAAATTAAGATCTCAAATTGCATAATTGTACAGCTGGAATTTAAGAAGAAAATAAACTTAAAACATAGACTTACAATTTAATAATAATATGCATCCTTTCACTGTGTTTGCGTCTTTTATTTTAACAGGTTTAATATGCCTCGTTCTGTGATTATACGGTCCTTTCACTGGCATTTAACCTAAGCGTTTACTCCAGATTCTTACACTCCTTTGCACACTACTACGTTTAAGCCGCCTATTTTTTTTTTTTTTTTACTATTATTTTTTTTTATTAAGCTGTGAGAAAACGCGTCAGTTGAAATGAAATTCATTTGTAGATATTTTGATTCTCTCGTTTTTGAACATTTCATACACAAGTTGCATTTTGGAGTGAATTTATTGTTTTCCGCCTGAAACTCAATGCACTAAAAATTTTAAAATTTTGTCCTCATTTCAGTCCAAAATTCATCAAACGGATAGAAAAAAATTTTCATACCCTAATATTTAAAGTTTTATTTCCCATAGATCAATGTTTATTTTTAAGAGTAACGCTAAGTCAAATATTTTTTATAAGATATTTCAAAACTTAAAAGATGCTGATTTTGCAAATGTGAGTAGTAATATTTGATGCATGTGAAATTAGGAAATATTTTGATCATATTTTATAATAATACAAATTTTTAATCGAAGTTACTTTTCAATATTTGTTTTAATTTAATATTTTTCTAAGTCTCGCAGTGGACTGATTGTAAAGACACGGTTCCCAGTAGAACACCGAAGTCAAGCATCGCTGGCTGCGATTGGGTGATCAATTACTGACCGCAAGTGGGTGGGTAGCCTGCGTAGGGACCGAGGGTGTGCGGTATCGGTCCTCGTTAAACTGTTCTACCGTAAAGTGCTCGACTTCACTTGCAGGTCGTCGGACTATCGAACCGGGAGTGTCATCCCCTCTGCAGAGGATCAAAATTGCAATGGCATGTCTTCGGATCATTCTCAGGGATGTTTCCCAGACCGTGCCAATAGCCCATTCTGCAACGTAAATAAAGTACCAATATTTTTCTAAAATATCCACCAAAAATTTCTGTAATTTAGTTGTTATAAAATGTTGCTCTTTTTATTATTCGTAATAAAAGTGAGAAATGAATTTACCTGTTTTTAAAACACGAAATGATTCCTAAGTTGACATTGCTATCAAAACATTCAATATATAGATATTTTTTAAATTTTATTAAATAAAGAAGTTTTTTTCGGTACCAAAACAGCTTTTGAAAATTAGTTTTT